AAAGATTTACTGAGAATGATGTTAGCTATGGGTATAGGTATATGAGCTTTATTGTGTTAAGGTAAGTTTCTTTTATGTCTAATTTGTTGAGAATTTTTAGGATGAAAAGATGTTGAATTTTGTCAAATGTCTTTTCTACATCTATTGAGATGATCATATGACTTTGTCCTTCATTCTGTTAATATGATGTATCACACTTATTGATTTGTATATGTTGAACCATACTTGCATCCCAGGGATAAATCCCAGTTGATCATGGTGAACGATCCTTTCAAAGTGTTGTTGAATTCTGTTTGCCAGTATTTTATTAGGGATTTTTGCATCTATATTCATCAGGGGTGTTGGCCTGTAATTTTCTTTTCTGTAGTGTCCTACTTGGCTTTGGTATCCAGGTAATGCTGGCCTTATAAAATGAGTTTGGACGTATTCCCTCCTCTTCAATATTTTGGAATAGTTTGAAGATAATTAGTATTAGTGTTCTTTAAATGTTTGATAGAATTCAGCATTGAAACCATCAGGTCTCAGTGGAAAAGTCTCAAACGTGAGACTTTTTATTACTGATTCAATCTCCTTACTCATTAGTAATCTGTTCAGATTTTTAATTGATTCATTATTTAGTCTTGGCACATTGCATGTGTCTGGAAATTTATTCACTTCTTCTAGGTTATCCAATTTGTTGGCCTACAAATGTTCATAATAGTCTCTCTCTCTTTTTTAGATGGAGTCTTGCTGTGTTGCCCAGGCTGGAGTGCAGTGGTGTGATCTCAGCTCACTGCAAACTCTGCCTCCTGGGTTCATGCCATTCACTCACCTCAGCCTCTCAAGTAGCTGGGACTACAGGTGCCCGTCACCACACCTGGCTAATTTTGTTTTTGTATTTTTAGTACAGATGGGGTTTCACGGTGTTAGCCAGGATGGTCTTGATCTCCTGACCTCGTGATCCACCTGCCTTGGCCTCCCAAAGTGCTGGGATTACAGATGTGAGCCACCGTGCCCTGCCCATAATAGTCTCTTTTAATCTTTCATATTTGTGTGATCCAGTTGTAATGTATCCTCTTTCATTTGTTATTTTATTTATTTTAGTCTTCTCTTTTTTCTTACTGTAGTTAAAGGTTTGTCAATTTTATTCCTCTTTTCAAAAAACAAATCTTTGTTTTGTTGATCTTTCTATTGTTCTTCTAGTGTTTATTTCACTTATTTCAGCTCTGATCATTACCTTAGTTTCCTTTCTTCTGTTGTCTTTGGGCATAGTTTGTTCTTTTTCTAGTCCTTTGACATGTAATGTGAGGTTGTTTATTTGGGATCTTTCTTTTTCTTTTTTGATGTAGGCATTTGTTGCTCTTAGGATTGCTTTTGGTATATTGAACTTCCATTTTCTTTTATCTTAAGATATTAAAACAATTATCCTTTTAATTTCTTCTTTGACCCCTTGTTTAGGAGCATGTTGTTTCATTTCCACATGTTTGTGAATTTCCTAAAATTTCTTCTATTATTAATTTCTAGTTTTACACCATTGGGGTGTGAAATGGTTTCAGTCTTCATAAATTTGTTAAGATTTGTTTTGTGGACTAACATATGGTGTATCCTAGAGAATTTTCCATGTGTACGCTCTTGGGAAGAATGGGTATTCTGCTGCTGTTGAATGAAATGTTCTATTTAGGTTGGTGCAAAAGTAATTGTGGTTTTTCCCATTAATGCAGTTACTTTTGCACCAACTTAAAATATGTGTCTGTCAGGTTCATTTGATCTAAAGTATAGTTCAAGCCAATGTTTCCTTATTGATTTTCCATCTGGATGATTTGTCAATTGTTGAGAGTGTAGTATTGAAATTCCCTACTATTATCATACTGCCATCTCTCTCTCTCTTCAGATCTATTAATATTTGCTTTATATATTAAAGTGGTCTGATGTTGGATACCTATGTATTTATAATTGTTATATCTCCTTGATGTATCAATCCCTTTATATCATTACATAATGACCCTCTTTGTCTCAATTTACAGTTTTTTGGCTTAAATTCTATTTTATCTGTTATAAGTACAGCTGACCTGCTCTCTTTTGGTTTTCATTTGCACGAATATCTTTTTCCATTCTCTCACTTTCAATCTGTGTGTCTTTTCAGGTTAAGTGAATCTCTTGTAGGCAGCATATAGTTGGGTCTTTAAAAAAACTCATAGAACATTCTGTTTTTTGATTGGATATTTTAATCTATTTCCACTCAGGGTAATTATTGATAGGTAAGGATTTACTACTGCCATTTTGTTAATTGATTTATGGTTGTTCTGTGGAGTTTTTGTTTCTTTCTTCCTCTCTTGCTGTCCTCCTTTGTGATTTGATGATTTTCTGTAGAGGTAGTCTTTGATTTCTTTCTCTTTCTTTTTTGTGTATCTACTACAGGTTTTTGCTTTGTATAAAACATCTTATAATAGGCTGTTTTAAGCCAATAACACCTTAACTTTGCATACAACAACTCTAGACTTCACCTCCCCACATTTGATGTTATTGATGTCACAATTTGCATCTTTTAATATTGTATATCCTTTATCACATTAATATAACTATATTTCAAAATAATTTTGTCTTTTAACCTTTATATTTACAAAATAAGTAATTTACACATCACCATCACAATGTTAGAGTATTCTGAATTTGACTGTGTACTACATACTTTTACCAGTGAGGTTTTTGCTTTTGTATGTTTTTATGTTACTAATTAGCATACTTTTGTTCAGCTTGAAGAACTCCCTTTAGCATTTCTTGTAAGACAGGTCTGGTGGTGATAAACTCCCTCAACTTTAATTTGCATGGGAAAGTCTTTATCTCTCTTTTGTTTCTAAAGATTAGCTTCTCTGGGTAAAGTATTTTTGGTTGGAAGTTTTCTTTTTCCCCTTCAGCACTTTGAATATCATCCCACTCTCTCCTGGTCTGTAAGGTTTCTGCTGAGAAATCCACTGTTAGCCTTACTGGAGCTTCTTTACATGTGATTTGTTTCTTTTCTCTTGCAGCTTTCAGGATCCTCTCTTTGTCTTTGGTTTTTGACAAATTGATTATGTCTCAGGGGTAGTCTTGTTTTGATTGAATCAGATTGGAGATCTTTAACCTTCCTGTACCTGGATATTTATATTGCTTCCCAGGTTTGGAAGATTTTCTGCTATTATTTCTTTAAATAAGTTTCCTTCTCCTTTGTTTCTCTCTTCTTCTTCTCGAACTTCTATAACATGAACATTTGCTCTTTTGATACTCTCCCCAAAGTCGCATACATTTTCATCATTCTTTTTCACTCTTTTTTCTCCTCTGACTGTGTGTTTTCAAATAATCTGTCTTCAAGTTCACAGATTCTTTCTTCTGCTTGATCATTCTGTCACTGATGCTTTCTATTACATTTTAAAATTTCATTCATTGTATTCTTCTGTGCCAGAATTTCTGTTTGCTTTTTTTTTTTTTTTTTAATTTCAATCTTTCATTACATTTCTCATTTTGGTCGCTTATTGTTCTTCTGATTTCACTGAATTACTTCTCTGTATTTTTTAAAGTTTGCTGAGCTTCCTAAATTATTTTGAATTTTGAGTTATTTGTTAGGTTTTTTTTTCATTTCCTTTTTTTTTTTTTGAGATGGAGTCTTGCTGTGTCCCCCAGGCTGGAGTGCAGTGGCTTTTTTTCATTTCTTTCTGGTCAATTTTGGGAGATTATTGTGTTCTTTTGTGGCTGATATATCTCCTTGGTTTTACATGTTTCTTGTTGCCTTTCATTGATGTCTGTATATTTGATGGAGTCACCTCTTGCAGACTTTACAGACTATTTTCACTGTGGAAAGACCTTCCCCTACAGGGAGGTAGAAGGGTGCTTGCTGGTGGTGTGCAGTGGTTCTGTCACTAGTGAGAACACAGCTGTGTAGTCTCTGTGCAGCCGTGTCTTATATTGACATATCTTTCTTTTCCTAGAATAAAACCTACTTGACCAAAGTGTATGAGTTTTTTTTCACTAATTAAGTACTTTATTGAATAAATACAATACCAAATAAAATGCATTCTAAAAAAGTTTTTTTTTTTTTAAATTTATTTATTATTATTATACTTTAAGTTGTAGGGTACATGTGCATAACGTGCAGGTTTGTTACATATGTATACTTGTGCCATGTTGGTGTGCTGCACCCATCAACTCGTCATTTACATCATGTATAACTCCCAATGCAATCCCTCCCCCCTCCCCCCTCCCCATGATAGGCCCCGGTGTGTGATGTTCCCGTTCCTGAGTCCAAGTGATCTCATTGTTCAGTTCCCACCTATGAGTGAGAACATGCGGTGTTTGGTTTTCTGTTCTTGTGATAGTTTGCTAAGAATGATGGTTTCCAGCTGCATCCATGTCCCTTCTAAAAAAGTTTTAAAGGCCTTTCTACTCAGGCTAATGACAAACACAACAAAGGCAGATATGCTAGTTTAATATAATTGGCTGATTTTATACAGCACTTATATCTTTTAGTCCACAAGTATATTATTAAATGATAGAGAACATCTAATACAACCATTTCTACAGAACTAGGAAATAAATTTCTAAGAAAGAAAGATTTTACAGACCCCATCTTTTATACCCACTCCAACAGTCTAACTCTAAAGAGGATAAAGGCAATGACTTTCCTCACAAGAGCTCGCGACTAATGTTGCTTTGCTATCAAAATCTGTATTTCTGATCCGTTATGAGCATTGAGACAAGATTCAAATATTCCCGAAGAAAGAAGCACAATGCACGTTGTGATTGCCTATTAAGCAACAGCGAGCACTGCATCCAAAACTCTCATCCCAGGAATTACATAAGGTCAGCCACATTCATGGGCATCCCCTCCACTGTAGTATTGTAGACAGTCTCAATGTCATGAAGAATCCTCTTGTCTTCTTCAGTAACAAAGTTTATGGCCACACCTTTCCTCCCAAATCGACCCCCTCTGCCAAGTCGACTTTCACTTACGATTCCACGTCCTAACTTACGTCAGTGCCATTTCTGAGTGCCATCTCGTCATCGACTGCTGCTATTGACCCCTGTGAAAATAGTTTTCACGATTGGTAGGTAGATCATAATTTATAACCAAAGACACTTGTTGCACATCATTCCCATGAACCAACAAGTCAGTAGTGATCAGAACATGACTTGACCCTGACTGGAATTTCCTCATGATAACATCTCTCTCCTTCTGGTCCACGTCACCATGCAGAGCAGAAACTGTGAAGTCTCTGGCATGCATTTTCTCAGCCAGCCAGTCCACCTTGTGCCTCGTATTGAGAAAAATAACAGCCTGCATAATGGTCAGTGTCTTGTACAAGTCACAAAGTGTATCCAACTTCCATTCCTCTCTCTCAACATTAATATAAAACTGTTTGATTCCTTCAAGGGTCAATTCTTCCTTTTTCACCAGAATTCGAACTGGATCTCTCATAAATTTTTTGGTCACTTCCAACACATCCGTTGGGCATTGTGGCAGAAAGCAACACAACCTGAATACTTGTGTTTAGTTTTTGGAAAATCTCATAGATTTGATCCTTAAACCCATGGCTCAACATTTCATCTGCTTCATCCAAAACAAACATTTTGATCAATTTTGGAGAAAGATGTCTTCTGTTTAACATATCAAACACTCTCCCGGTGTACCAACAACAATATGTGGTGCTTCAGCCTGCAGTTTTTGCATTTCATTTGGAACATTTGTTCCACCAATGCAGGCATGACAAGTTGCTCCCATATAGTCTCCAAGTGCCAGAATTACTTTTTGGATCTGTTGAGCCAGCTCTCTGGTGGGGGCCAATACTGATGCTTGGGTCTCCTTGAACTCAATCTCCAACTGTTGCAGGATGGAAATAGCAAATGTGGCTGTCTTGCCAGTACCTGACTGAGCTTGAGCAATCACATCATACCCTGAAAAAAGTAGGATACCTATTTACCGATCCCACATCAAATTGTCACTTCTACTTCACACCATGTATTTCATTTGGAACATGCATTATGCCCAAATAATCAAGAGATCAGCAATGAGTATTCTCTTCATTTCAGGTCAGTCCCAAAAGATGATTGCCATCGTTTCACACAGTGTATGATTTTAATATACATTTGTTTTTTCCATCTATCATAAGAAATGAAAACTGTTCTTTTTTGAAATAAGAAAGTTTTGATACTAAGGTGTGTTAGCATCATGAATTGAGGAAATTTCTAATTTTTTTTTTCTATGGCGTGGAATACTTTGACTAACATAAAAATTAGCCTTATTGGAATGTAAGCTAAAACTAATTTGTAAAATCATTTTGGCCTAGAGCACTTTTATAGGGGATGCCATCATTTAGGTATTTTAAGCATTAAAATTAATTTGAACCTAGACTTCTGGTAAACCTGAAATCTAGGTAATTTATCTCCTCTTTTGAAGACAGCCAGAAAAGTTAAATAAAAAATCTACTTGAAGGTATTAGGACATAATAAAATAGTGAAGAAATACTGGCCCCAAATTTGGCAGAAGTGACAAACCATTTTGGGTTGCTTCTCCTCTCAGAAGAAACTGCCAATTCAGTGTGGGAGGTACTGAGAGGCTGAATGATGCTTTTTTGGAAAGTAATATGTCTTTTATAGTCTGCTTTTGATATTTTCTCTTTTTCTTTCGTTTTCTGTAGTTCTACCATGCTATATCCAGGTATGCATTTCTTGTACTTTTTCTGCTTGGGTTTTCAAAGTTTCTTAAATCTGTGCTTGATCTCTTTCAACACTTTGAGTAAATTCTAGGGTGTTATCTCTTCCATGATAATTTGATTCCATTAACATGTATTGTTCAGTTATTGTTTTGCCCCCTCACCCATGTGTTTTCTTTACATATATGAAGAAGGTCAACATATGCCTCAGTCTTTCTTTATCTTCTCTTTCTTTTAGCAGCTTTTCTGATTTTCCCTTATTCTTTTTTTGTCCCCATTATGCCCCCAAATTCTCTATTCTTTTATTCCAGATTCTGTCACCCAGCCTATGTTTAGCCCAGTCTAACTAGCTATTAAGCTAATCAATTAAGTGTGTAATTTCAGTTATTTTATTATTATTTAGCTATAGGATTTTTACTTGATTTTCGTCTTAGCCAGGGTTCCCTAGTGATTGGATTCCATTGAATTTTGTGCTCTACAAAAAGATATGGCAAAGCCCCAACCCCCAGTGCCTCAGAATGTGACCTTATTTGGAAATTGGGTCTTTACAGGGGTATTCCGTCAACATGAAGTTATTAAGATGGACCATAATTCCATATGACTGGGGTCCTTCCTTATAAAAAGGGGAAATGTGGACATAGATGGACAGACATACAGGGAAGACGACAGGAAAACATGCAGGTGAGAACGCCGTGTGAAGATGGAGGCAGAGATGGGAGGGATGCGGCCAGAAGCTGAGGAATGTTGGGGGCCGCCAGAAGCTGGAAGAGGCAGGAAGAATTCTCCTTAGAGGCTGCAGAGGGAGCACAGCCTGGCTGATTACTTGATTTTGCACTTCGGCTTCCAGAACCGTGGGACAATGAATTCCTGCTGTGTGAAGCCTTCCAGCTGTGGTGCATCCTCATGGCCTCCCTAGGTAACAGATCCCCCTGGAAGGCAGAGTGCCAGGCAAGGACAACGCTCCTGTTTTATTAGAGAGTGAAATCCAGGGGGCGCAGTGAGGAAGAAGGGAAGGGACACAGATATGGCAGAGACAGGGCTGCAGACAAGTGCGACTGATGACCGCTTCTCAGAGATATACCTTCTAAGAGGCTGTAAAACGGCCGGGTGTGGTGGCTTAGGCCTGTAATCCCAGTACTTTGAGAGGCCGAGGCGGGCGGATCACCTGAGGTCAGGAGTTCGAGACCAGCTTGACCAATATGGTGAAACCCCATCTCTACTGAAGAAAATACAAAAGTCAGCTGGACGTAGTGGCGGGTGCCTGTAATCCCAGCTACTCAGGAGGCTGAGGCAGAAGAATCACTCGAACACGGGAGTTCGAGGTTGCATTGACCCGAGATCGCGCCATTGCACTCCAGCCTGGGCTAGAGGGAGACCCTGTCGGAAAAAAAAAAAAAAAAAAAAGGCCGTAAAATGACAGACTCTCAGCACATTCTGTTCAGGAGGAGGAATGGGGAATAATTTATTTACCAGTCAGTGCCAAATCCCATTTATCAGGGGTTCACCCCGTGGAGCATGAATACCTCACGTTACTGGGTGGCACAGGCGTGGGTGCTGAGGGAGTCCTGGGGCGTTTCTTGCCTTGTTGGCAACAGGGAAGGACCGAGGTAGGAGACAAGCGGCATTCACCGCAGGCTTGGGGTGAAATGTGCTGCCCACTCCCTGTGGAGTCAGGCATTGCCCACACAGAACGGGTGACCACCGGGGTGGTGGAAGCCAAACAGATGGCTGCTATGGACCAAATGTTTGTGTTCCTCCGACATTCACGTGTTGAAGCCCTAACCCTCAATGGGAGAAAATTAGGCTGAGATGAGGTCATGAGAGTGGAGCCGCCATAATAGGAAGGATTAGACCCCTTCTAAGACCAGAGCCCTGGCTCTCCACCATGTGCGGACACAGCAAGAAGCTGGCCATCTGCAAACCCCCAAGAAGGCCCTCACCAGGAAATAAATCTGCCGACACTTTGACTTTGGGCTTGTCAGCCTCCAGAACTGTGCAAAATAAATCTGTTATGTAAGCCACCCAGCCTGTGGAATTTTGCTATGGAGCCCTGAGGCGGCCAACACACAGCCAACGGCTCCAGAACAAGGAGACGGAGAGAGTCTGCCCAGGTCTTAAGAGGCACTGGATGTAACTTTCGTTTTTCTTTCTTCTTCTTCTTTTTTTTTTTTCTTTTTAACAGTTTTCAGATCTCTGCCAAAATTCTCAAATCTTGTCTTTTTCCTCCATAAACAAAGAATGCATATTTATTTTGAGATCTGTGTATCATAATTTCGTTATCTGGGTGACTGTGGACCATTCTGTTTTGTTTGCCCAAACAGTCCGTCTTGTCTCCTTGTGTGCCTACTGTGTGATAGGGCATCCATTGGCGTATTGTAGAAATACATCAAGATGTAGGAGGCCTCCCTCCAGGTGTGAGATAAATTGGCTCTGTCAGGCACCAGGGGGCACCAGAACTCTATGGTTGCCTAAATCCAGTTTTAGGAAGTGTGATGATTCAAAGGCGCACTTTACTTCCCCAACTCAGCAAGGCTGGAATGCCTCTGGGTTGCCCTTATACCAAGGCCACGAGTCCCCACTCCAAGCAAGAGAGGTCCCAGAGCCTACCTTTGGTGGGTCCTGCACTCCTACCCCTTTCCCTTATGCTTGTAGCTGATTTTCAACAGAAATAAAGGAAGTCAGCAGCATTAGAACCACGTTTTTAGAGTGCTGCAAGAAAAATAGCTGCTAAACTGGGATTTTCTATGAAAAGAAAATATCCTTCAAAACTAAAGATAAAGATATCTTCAGATAGATGTTTGGCATGAGAAGAACTACACTAAAGAGAATACTTCCAGAACCAATACAATTGGGTTTTGCAAAAAAGAAAATACTAAAAGGCATCTTCAGGTCAAAGGATGAACCCAGGCGAAAGGTTAGAGATGCAGGAAAGCATGAAGTGCAATTAAAAGAGTCAATAGATTGGGAAATCTAAATGAATATTCAACCGGGTGTGGTGGCTCACTCCCGTAATTCCAGCAATTTGGGAGGCTGAGGCAGGAGGATTACCTGAGGTCAGGAGTTCGAGATCAGCCTGACCAACACGGTAAAATCCAATCTCTACCAAAAATACAAAACTAGCCAGGCTTGGTGGCACATGACTGTAATCCCAGCTACTTGGGAGGCTGAGGCAGGAGAATCACTTGAACCCAGGTGGTGGAGGTTGCAGTGAGCCGAGATTGCACCATTGCATTCCAGTCTGGGTAACAAGAGTGAGACTCTGTCTCAAAAATAAATAAATAAAAAAAGGAATATTCATAGCATAGGACAATGACATCTTGTTGGGTTAAAAATATGAATAGAATGAAAATGTGTGGCAACTTGGCCTATAATTTGTGAGAGAATAGATGGAGTAAAAATGTTGTAAGATTTTTGCATTCTCATAAAAGTACCATTTATTATTAGACTTAGTAAGTCCAGAAGCATGTTATAATTAATCTCTAAGGCAACTATTAAAAGAATAATACAAGATTGCATAACTTTCAAGCTCACAGGATAAAAAAATGGAAAAATAATGCCAGGTGCATTGGCTCACACCTATAACTCCAGCACCTTGGGAGGCCAAGACAGGAGGACTGCTTGAGGCCAGGAATTCCAGACCAGCTTGGGCAACATAGTAAGATCCTGTCTCTACAAAAAATTTAAAAAAAAATTAGCTGGGTGTAGTGGTTCATGCCTGTAGTTCTAGCTACTTAGGAGGCTGAATAGGAGGATCGCTGGAGTCCAGGAGTTCGAGGATACAGTGAGCCATCTTCATGCCACTGCATTCCTGCTTGGGTAACAGAGTGAAATCCCATCTCAAAACAGACAAGCAAAAATGGAATAAAAATAATTCATTCAAAGTAGATAGCCAAAGAGAAAAAGGAATATAGATCAAGTGAAAGATTGTAAAGAATTATTAAGCCCAAATATGTCAGTAATTACTAATATATTTTAAACCAAATATATTAGTAATCACATTAAATAAGAATAGCCAGGGACTACTAATGAACATCAAAAAACAGGGATCAGATATATCCTACCACCTGAATCATTCAAAGAATGGACAAAATATATGACATGATGAGAGAATCAGGCACCAAAGGATAGTGATTCTTGAGACATGAGAAATAAATGGGGCAAACCCTATTATTACCCCAGCTTGCTGCCTTGAGAGTTTCTTAGATGGAGCTTGGTGGACTCTCTGAGTTGAGGAGATGGAGCTGA